CTAAACCAGTGCATGGCTCAGCCTCTTGATGTGGGGAAGGAAGAGCAAGATGAAGGGGTCAGGAGGAGGGGCGGGTCGCTGAGCCGTCGCTAGGTGGGACGGCGGCTGGCAGAGGGTGCAGGGTGCCACGGAGGGTGGCCCACAGGGCTGGGAATTCTGCTGCAGCAGGAAGAACAGACGTGTTCAGGAGGAAGTAGCCGCTGCTGGGTGGACTGAAGAAGTGGGCACGCGGGCAGAGAGGAGGTGCAGAGAAGGAGACTGAGTGCAGGGGCTCTAAGGAGCGGGAAGAAGTCAGCGGCGGGAGGAACACAAGGATGTCCGGAGCTGTGTGCCTGAGCCCCGGGCGCTGGAAGGCAGTGGGAACCCGTGCAAGTCTAGGCCGGCCGGCTGGCTAGTTTAGGACTCCTTTTCTTACCTGGATGGAGTTTGAGCAGGGAGGGAGGGAGGGAGGGACAGGATCCGACTTGTGCTTGCAAAGGATCCCAGGCAGCCTGTGTGTCATGCACACGTACACAGCCTCTGCAAGGGCAGGCCGGGAGGCCGGGTAGGAGACTGTTGTCACCGCTCAGAGGCGGAGAGTGTTGTACTAGGCCAGCAGCACTGAGGAGAGGATTGTGCCGGCCTGCAGGAGGAGCGTGTCCCGGGCACAGGAGGATGTTCAGCAGCATCCCTGGCCAATACCTGCCAGATGCCACCCTCCACATGTGCCAATCTAAAATGTCTCCAGACATTGCCAGATGTCTCTTGGGAGGCAAAATCTACCCCCATCAGGAACCACAGGTGCAGTGGAAGGGAAAAACAGACACAGCGAAGACATCTATTCAGTCCTCCTCCTTCCGTAGCGAAACTGTTAGGAAAGGAGGGAAAAAGCAGCTTCCGGCGGCTCCTGCCTTCCTCCTTCAGGTTTTTATCTTGTCCCTGTGTCCCGCATCTTCCCTCCCCGCCCAGCCGTGACCGTCTGCCCGATGGGGCACACACCATCCACCTGCCCTTGCCTCCAGTCCTGGACACCTCCCCTGTGTCCCTGGCTTAATCCTCCTAATAACCTCTCTCCCAAAGAAGTACAACAAAAACACAACACGCAACACACCAGCCAAGCTCCCCGTTCCTCCCAAGGAGGGATAGATCCTGTCTGCCTCTTGGCGGCTGTAACCTGACCTGGAAGATGAGCCTTTCTGTCACCCAGCCATAAGTTGGCCTTCCTCCTCATTGGCCAAAAAGGAACAAAACCAAACAAAACAAGGTCGTTTAAGCATTCTCCTGTCTCACTCTTGTCCATTTCGCCTGCTGCTTGCTGGAGGCAGATAACTCCAAGTGCGCCTGTGTGCATCGCCAGCCGCCCCAGCTATCTGGGGATGCAGCTCGCCAAAGGCCACTGTTCTTGCTGCTAACCTGGCAGCCGGCCAGGGGCTAGAGAGCCCTCCCTGCGCGGCTGGGCCTGGCCTGGTGTGGCCTGGGGAAGCGAGCTGGGGCCAGCCCTTCCGCTCCTTGCAGGCCAGCCGGACTGTTGTGACACTGCCCGGCTTTCTATCTACAGCCTCATTCTGTCCCCCCTGGTTCTTTCTGTCCTCTGGGAATATTAAGAGAGACACATTTTAATGTATTCCTCTTAGCTCATTGCTTATTAATATCACCGAGGAACCTATTTGTCTGGTCTCTGCTGGCTTTCCTGTCCAGAGGCACAATGGTTGGATTTCATTTCTTCCTCTTCATTGAGGCCAGGGATTCCCAAACTCTACACAGTAACATATCTTGGGTCACATAATTCCTTGTCGTGTGACGCTGTCCTGTGCACTGTGGGTCATTTTGCAGGGCTCCTCCCCTCGTAGTGATTACCCAAAATCTCCTCACAGTGCCAGAGGTCCCTTGGCCTCAAGATTGCCCCTGGCTGGGAACTACTGATTTCAAGAAATATAAACAGCCTGTTACAAAGGCAAAGCGTTCCTCCTGTTCTTTTGCTCGAGGTTTGTAGACAGAGGGCAGCTTTCTCTGAGCTCCTAGCCTGTGATAAAAAGGCATCTGTTTTTCTCTCTTTTTTTTTTTTTTGCGAAACTGGGGATTGAACTCAGGCCCCTGCGCTTGCCAGGCAAGCACTTATTTTACTGAGCCATCTCCCCGACCCCTAAAAGCATCTGGATGAATCTAAAGGCTCAGCTCCTTTATTTAGTCCTAAGAGCCCATTTTCAGGGTGGACCTCCTGAAAGAGACTAAGTCTTGCCTTCGGTGTTTGGGGAATTTAGCTTGTTTTCTGCTGTGTTTGGTTTGGCTTTGCTTTTGTGTCTGATTTCTTTAGAGTCAAGGAAAGGCATGGGCTTTAGGGATATGGAGTCTTAACTGCCTGGCACTTGCCAGCTGTGTGACCTTGAGCAGCTCACTTCACCTCTCTGGGCACAGTTCCAGGTCTCTAACAATGCCGCCTGCCTGCTTGAAATGAGGCTGTGTCCAGCACTGATTTAGTAAGTGCTGTGCTGGGGCCTGAAGCAGGGCCACCGAGTGGATCTCTAGGCTGAGGCCAGCAGCGTTTGGTTGTTTGGTTTTACTTCCTGTGTATCAGCCACATTCCATCAGGGCCAGGAGAGGCCCCTGGTAGGCCTGCCGCAGGGTTTCTTTCAATCTGTGCCCCTCCCAGGATTCCATCTGCCACCATACCTTGTGTCTGTCCCCAGCCCAATTGCTATTTTCCAGATAACCTCAGACCTCCCCGAATGCCAACAGCATTCCTCAAACTGAGCTGAGCTGCCACACTAAGCCGGCAGCTTCCTGCTCTTTGCCCCAGAAAACATTTCAAATGATCAAGTGATCAGGGAGAGGGAGGGAGGGGGAGGGGGAGGATGCGTGCGACTGCTTATGCAACAAGCTTTAATCCTGGGTTAAAATCCACCCGGCGCACGCACCAGCAGCCTATTTCATTTCCTCCTGCAGTCAGCGGAGTTACTTGCCCATGAGCTCACTCACCACTAACCTTGGTTCCATTTTTGTTACTCCCCAAAGCAACACCCACAGAAGAAACAAGCCGGCTTCCATAGGGGTGGTGGTGGAGGGAAGGCAGAGGCCGAGCAGCGCAGGCCAGGCCCGGTCGTCTCTGTTCCTGTTTGGCCCCTGTACCAGTTTCTGTCCCCAGGAATTGCCTCTGGGGAGGCCTGGGCCTGTTGTTGTGGGTGTGGGACTTTTTTATCCAGCCTGCCCTTGGTGGTCTCAGGCCCCTGGCAACCTAAAACGGCACCCAGATCCTGTTCTTTTTCAAAAAAGCCTGAGCCTGGGCCCCGCCCTGGGATTCAGTGCGTCTGGATTTCTGGCTCAACCCTGAGCCTGGCTCTGTAAGATTCTCAGCCAGGCAGCACGGGTGGACACGCAGCGCGCATCTGTTCTCCATGGGGGAGGGCGGGGAATAAATGACCAGCTCCTCATTTTCTTTGTGGGCACAGTGTGGGACCAGAAAGCCCCCAAGTCTTAATTTCAAGAGGAGAGGGAAGACTTTATACCTCCCTAGTTTTACCTCCTGGCATATGGCTTCGTTAACTGAGGCAGGCTTCCTTCAGCCCTTAAAGAAAGGTGTTTATTTTAGCGTCTGTTTTTCCTGCTTGCTGTTTTTTTTTTTTTTTAAATCTTGCTAATTAAACACTTCGTTGAAAAAATTAAAATGTAGTAGAAGAAAGCAAGCTTGGACATTTTAAGATCCTGTTCGATTTACCTTCTCTACAAAGGCAGCTTAGGAGGAAATAGGCATCGACCTACTAATACTACTGAAAGGGGTGGAATTATAAGCGGCTCTGAAGAACTAGTTAATATTTTACTGGGGAGCAGTGCCAGAGATGGGGGCTTGGGGGGGTGCCAAGTGCAGGGCTGTGTGTGAAATAGCTGCTCCATCTGCCTTAGGGGACGAAAAGGAGCCGTTCTCTGTGGAAATAAATTGAAGCAGGAATCCTTATGAAGCTCAGGGGATTTGTCTGCCCACTGAGGAGGGCCCAGTTCCCCAAGAACACGCATACATACAGGGATGATTGTGGCAGGAAGAGCTAACCTGTGGGTGGATAGGCCTGACTATAATGGGGGTTCTTGTTTCCCGGCCGGGTTTGACATCTTTCTTTCTCCCTGTGGATTTAAATGGCTTCTCAGACGGAGAGGCACAGCCTGTGCCCTGGATTCAGAAGGTACACGCCTCCTTGGGAAGCAGAGGCAAGAGACAGCGGCTCTCTCTCTCTCTCTTGCTCTCTCTCGCTCTCTCTCTGCATCTGCCGGCAGAGCTGCAGCTGGTATTTTTCCACAGGCCTTCTCTGCGATCTCAGGGCCTAGTTCTTCCCAGCCAGGCCTAGAGTCCGAGAGAGGGTTAACAGGCAGGAAGCTGAAGGCATCGCAGACTAATACGGAAGTCAGATTTTTGTTTAACTGACAGGTTTAGCAGGCCCCAGCGGTGGGGGAGGGGGCCGGGAGGGGAAGGGAAGTCTGTAGATGGGAGGCATGTGGCCTGCTAGGAGCGCATTTGGCTTTTCTTAGGGTAAGCACGGAGAGGGGGCCCCCTTGGCACGTTGGCAGGGAGGCAGGAACCCATTTTGGTCTTCCTTTGAGGACTGACAGAGGGGGGTGAAAGGTTAGACTCTCAGCCAGGCAAATGGCTGCCTGGCCTGCTTTTCCAGGAGGAGGCATTTTGACAATGACAATGCAAACTTGACCACTGTTCCCCTCCTCCCCTTTGCCGCTGAGTCCTCTTTCCTCTGAGAAGCCAGACTGCCCTTTGCGGGTTCCTGGCTCTGCCTGGCTGCCCGTTTCTCCTCAGAGGCCTGCCGCCTGCCCCTTCCTTTCCTCTTTTCCCTTGGCTGCTCCTCTGGGGCTCCTCGCTGCCCAGCTAGCTCTCTTTCCCCTTGGAGAAGCGCCGCTGAATTGTTCACGCAGAAGGTCAGCCTTGCTCCTCAGCAAGGGCCACTGCTGTGGGGGCAGGTGAGGGAGAGCCCTTTCAGCCCACCCCAAGTGCTGCCTTCCCAGGAGCTTCCAGGCCCCCAGGCTTTGCTTGAGCAGGTCAGGCTGGCCGCACTGGTTTGCTAGTGCCGGAAAATCTAGCCAGAGTGTGGGAGAAGTGAGTGTGGGGGCCCCTTTCCCAAGTTTTTCTTGCTGCAAAAGGCCTAGCTTAGCCTGTCTTTTTCTATGCACAGGATAGCTCTTGCTCACCCGAGCCTCACAAAGATAATAGCTCAGGAAGTGTTTCAGCCAATCCGGGGCGGCTTTACACTCCGATTTGCCGGGGCAGCCAATCGGGGATGAGCTTTTATTAGGCGGCCAGATCATCAGCCGAAGTGCCAAACCCTTTTTCTGTGAGAACTAGGAGCCTGTCCTCCATGTTTTATAAGTATTGACATTACACAGTGTTAACAATGCATCCACAGAGGTAAGCTCGGCTTTTTAACCATCTTTTTCCCCCTCCCTCTGAGACATCCGAGTTGTGGGCGAGCAGTGTGATTTCTCTGTGGCTGGCCGTGCCACACTCGCCCCCAGAGCACTTATGTTAACTTGGAACTGTTTAGAGAGAATTTTTTTGCTTTCTTGGGTCACATGGCTAAGTAGCCATTAGCCTTAGCTTGATTTTGCAAACTGGCAAGGGCCTGGCACACCTTTTCTTCCACCAGGGCATGGTGTTTCTGGAATAGTTTGAAGCTAGATCCTGCTATGCCAAAAGAGAAGCTCTTTTTCTCCTCTTTTTTCCCCCCCTCCCTCTGTCTCTCTCTCTCTGAGCAGTTTTCCCCCTGCACCATTGTCTGCTCTGTGTCACATGCCTGCTGGGGGAAGAAAATGGAAGGTAAGCAAGCAGGCTGCTCTCCAAGGAGCGCTCATGGCAGACAGCAGAGCAGGCAAGTTTGCCTCTCCAAAGAGGTTCTGGGAAGGCTGGAGTGAGTTCTGACAAGGCAGGCCGCGTTGGAAGCAGAACCCAGCTCTGAGCGCAGCAGTGCCTCAGGGAACTGAGAGTAGCTCCTTGGGCCTAGGTGGGTGCTGTCGTCTGTACATGGTCTTTCTCTTCCTCCACAGAGCTGTTCACTGGAGAAACTACATTGTTCAGCCTTTTTTCCTGACCTAGCCTGATGCAGTATTCTGCAAGCCAGCCTACAGCCAGCAAATGTTTCTGAAAGTGTTTTAGGCTCTGGAGGAAGTTTTTGGATGGGCGCTCGGGTGGGGGGTGGGGGAAGATCTTGGACAACATCCTGCAGAAATCTGGGAGGAGGACTCTGAATGCTTTAGCTTTCTACTCTTGCATGTTTTTCAATGAACTAATGTATCTTTTATCTTTATTTTCATTTTCCTTGCCCCCCCCACCCCCAGCCTTTTTACATTGTATCATCCTCTGTCCTGCGTGATGGAGGGCAGAGGAAATAAAATCATGTGTGTGGTTCATGACGGCATTCCATATCCAGTTGTTGAGTTGTGTTGTTGTTGTGGTGTGTGTTTTTAATAATTCCATGTAACTGTTTAAAAAAATTTCCTTTTTGATCAACTCCCAAATCTGCCAGCCTGTTCTCTCTTCCTAACTGTGGAAAAATGAGACTGTTGCTTGAACATTTGTTGGGTAAGTAAGCAAACCATTTCCTCTGTGACCATGTATCAAGAGTTTTGGAAACATTTGGTATCTTTGTAATAGGGGGTGTTGGTTGCAGGAGTTGGGGGGCTTCAGGAGTGGGAACAAAATAAGGGCTTTTAAAGAGTGTCTTGAGTTGAAGTGACTGTTTGAATCCAGTTTTTCCTGATAACCTGCAGATAGGATTGAAGATTTCACTTCCTGTTTACCTTCAGCCTGGGCAGAAATGTGCAGTTCATTGTGACTTGCTTGTAGACCTTTAATTGGGTTTGTTTGGATTTCAGAACTCTGGGTAGGTGATCTGCTTGTGAAATGTAAGGAAACTGCTTGTTTTTAGAATCACAGCCCTATAGACCTGGGGTGGGGGGTGCTGGTGGTAGCCTGCATGTGTGGGTGGGGTATCAGTACTTATGTTTTAGGATTTTTACATATACACAGCAAAATCCCATCTACCATCAAACTTGTTTTGATTCAGGGCTCACTCACCAACGGATTCAGCCTTTTTTCCAAGCCTGATTCATTCGTGTCCCTGGCCATGTATAGGATTTCTCACTTAATACATTTTCCCCTGATCTCTTTTTTTTTTTTTTTAATTTATTTATTTATTTTTGTGTGTGTGTGGCCAGTTCAGCCCGCCAGGGGGCGGGGCTGGCTGGCATGTGGTGCTGGGGATTGAACCGCGGTCCCTGTGCTTTTGCTTAGCTTAGCTTGTTCTAAGTAGGTGCTTTAGACCACTGAGCCATCTCACCAGCCCTCCTCCCCTGATCTCTTGATGATGTGTGTGGCCAGCATTTAAAAAAAGTGACCAAAGTAGACTGTCACTTAGTATTGCCTTTGCCATTTCTCTTGAGAGTTCACCACAGAGATTACCAGTTTGGAGACCAATCCAGCATGACTAGAAACGTGGAGATCTATTCACTTGGTGCATTAGGCTAACTTTCTGGAGTCAGTAAGCTCATTCCTAGTGCCCAGCAATGCAAACTTTTGACACCTTTTGGAGAGATACTTGTCTCATAAGAAGTGGCATTGCATTTAGACTTGGGAAGTCTGCGTAAGGTGAGCCAGCATTTTAGACTAAAAGTGAGGGTAGTTTCCAATACATGCTTCACACTGCACGGGCCCCTCATCCCACCCAAGTTCATGCACTTAGCTGTTTTCTTTGTTCTTACCTTCCTGCTCTAAGTGGAAATTGCATATTGAGGTTCTTGTGGCCTCCCTAGAACAATATCTAATCACAAGACTCCTGGTTTGGTGCCTTCAACGTTTGCATAATACTGTGTGTGCTGGAAGGAGAGTGAAGGGCAAATGCATTTGTCCTCTGAAAGCTTGCATTAAAATGGCTCCTACAGGTTTGGAAAGCCAAGATCTGTTTTCAAGTGTGCAGCCCTAGCAGGTTCCTGGCCCTGGAGCAAGTTGGGACACCACTTTTCTTCTGGTACTGTAGCTGCCACCAACCATGGGTCAGTAAAAAAGTTAATTACTTTCCAAGTAGCATTATTTTCCAGCTACTAAAGGGAAATAATACATGTCTGCATTGCAGTAGGGAAGGAGCACTGGCCTACAGAACACCCCAGTGGGGCTCCCTCTCTCTCTCGCTCGCTCGCTCGCTCTCAAATCAGTGGGCCTGGAGCAAATGGGTTAAAGGTGGACAGTTGCAGTGGGTGAGCTGAGGATGTGTCTTCTGGAAATTTCCACCATCTTTGTTCCTTTTAGGGAAAGCAGTTCACCAAGCTGAAGAGTCCTGCATTCCATTCCTGAGGCGCCTCCCCTCCCCCTTTCTTTTTCTCATCAAGGTAGACTGTTCCCTCTGCCACGTTTGTAAATTGCAGAGGGAGGAACAGAAGGATGGGCTGTTTTCCTTTTTCCTTCTGCCTCCTCAGTCCCCAAAGAGGATGCACAGCTGCAGACACTGGAGCTTTTGATTCCTCTCCTCCTCTCCCTCCCTCTCTCCCTCTCTCTCCCTCCCTCTCTTCTCCTTCAAGACCCTCCAGGATGGATGCACTTTCTGCCTTCGGAAATTAAGTGGCAGTCACGTGGGGGAGGGGGAGTAACAGCTTTTATTAGCTCCAGAAAATGGTCAGTGTTCAGTCTGTAACTAGGAATTAATTATATATAATCACTCAGTAAACTTTCTTCAGAGTTTTTCTAATTGCCGAGCATGAACATAGTTAGCCTGTTGGAGCCAAGTCCAGTTACTTTTATAATTACAGCTTAAAGATTTGAGTCAGAAGGAGAGAAACAATGGGGCCTCCTGGATTATAAATTAGGGATGAAAACAATAGCTTTTCCCCTCTTTCTTTCTCGTAACCCCTTTTCTTTGAAACAAAACATTCCACCTTTTCTTTCCCTTGCCAGAACCACTGGGGAAACTGAGGGGGGGAGACTAAGTCACGTTTCAGAAAGCTGGGTGACAATCACCTAAAAAACCCTGAAGGCAAAGTGGGCTTTGGAAAAGCTCAGCCACTTCAAAGGTGATCTGGCTGTGCCTTTGCTTCCCTTCCCTTCTTGGCTTGTTCTGGCAGAGGCGACAACGTATTTGTCAGCCCTGCATCTCGCTTTGCCTCTGGTTGACCCCCGACAGCAGATACATCCCAGGGCACGTTCCTCATCCCACAGCAGAGGTGTGCAAGGGGGAGTACGTTGAGAACCCTGCATTTTATTCTTCAGAGGCAAAAACAAGTAAGGATTCACCCCTGGCCTCAGGTTGCCAGACTGGCTGCCCCTCCCCCTCCTTGCTGTCCTTAACAGACAAACAAGCAGGTGGTGGCCATGCCAGCTCTGCAGCCCGCACGCTACCAGACTGTCCCTCCTCATCCGATCACCTACCTACTGGCCGGCAGCGAGCCAGCAGCCCGTCCTCGCCCCAGGTTGGCCTTGGGCATCGTGCCCTCCTTTCTCTCCTAGAGCTGAAAAGCAGTCACCTTGAAACTCCCCGCTTGCTCCCAGCACCAGAGGAATTCCGAGGCCAATTCTCAGACCTTACTAGTAAATGGCATTAGCCACTATGAGGCTATTAGTTCGGCCTCTGAGAGTGGGGGTTTTGCAAAACCCATTGTTAAGGTTCAGGGCTCTCCTGAGGGTAGCCAGAAATCTAATTTGTGAGTATACCGTGCAGTGCAGAAGGGAACGTTTGACTTGAGGTTCTCCCCTGCAGACCCGGTTGTCTTTCCTTCGCGTTCCCTGCCTTAGGAGTGGCAGCCGTGGAGAGCTGCTGTTTGGGGCCCGGATTCAGGCTTCCTAGGCAGCCTCTTTATTTACCTTGGCCTCAGACTGCAGGGCAGCCCTGTAGCTCAGCTTCTCAGATGCCCACTGTTCTTGAGGAACTTGCATTTTCCCTGGCTTGGCAGAATGAATCTGAGCTGTTTGCCCATGGACTGAGAAGGAGAATGGGTTTCCTTCCCTCCATCTCCTCCCAAGCCCTCTCCCTGGAACCTTCTCCTGGGTGCACGCAGACACCTGTCTGTCTGGCCTGCGTGCTGCGGGGCTGCGTAATTCCTAAGCTTCCAGCCACCTAATTCGAAGGGCGAGGGGGCCCCACCACAGAGCTCCCGTGGAAGGCTCAGAATCCAGGGGGGAAGGCTTTTCCTTAGGAACCTGTGACTTCATAAACTCCCTGTCATTGCAGTGTTTTTTTTTTTTTTTTTTTTTAAAGCTTCTAACATTTGGGTTGTTGGTGTCCTTTGGTTGAGGTTTTCCTAGTTCTGATATTTAGGAAGGTGGCTTTGAAACTAGCAGGGCTGCCTCCACACAAGCTCAGCTATTGAACAAACTGCTACCATTTTAGCTTCAGTGCAGGAGTGAGGCAGTGTTGCCAGACGCCATTTTAAGAATCCTGCATAAATAGCTTAGCTACCGATGACTCTGCCTGTTTTAGGTGAGTGCTTATTATATAAAGCTGTCTGCTAACCATTCTCTCTCCCATCCATTTAAAAAAAATTAATTGCAGATTTAGGGAAGCATGGGTTTTGTTGTTTTAATGTTAACTCTTTTATAATCTAGAAGAGGAAGATGTTATGCCTGGGGATTAAGCATTTCTTACAGCCTGGACCATTTGGGCATTTTTTTTTTTTTTTTTTGAATGAAAGTAAAAAGCTAGGAAAAGTCCTTTTGAATGATGCATGATTCCTGAAATGCTGTGTGATGATCCTCATCTGAGAACCAGGCTCTTGTGCATGCTGGTTATGTATTCTAGATGGGCTAGAGATTCTTGGTTAAAAGTCAAATAGTGAGGGCACTTGGGGAAAAGAAATATCTGGGCATTGTGTATCCAGGCATTTTTTGGTCAAAACTAGAGATGCTTTCTCCCCTCCCCACCTCTTTTGGAAGTGTTGAGGGGATGAGATTCCTGGGAATTACGGACCAGCCCTGAGTCCTCAGAATTAATAATCAGAAGGCTTAAAGCATCCTGGAGGTGCAGCAATTCATCTGCAACTTTTAATTGCTCTTTTTTTCAGTGCATGCAGGTGAAGAAGTAAGCAAGCTGTCTTGCCCAGGCATTGGGGAAGAATCTTTTATTTTTTTTTTGGGAGGGCAGGGGATGGTCTTGGTTGTGTTTGCAGGTGCAGTTGGCTGTTCTTTGAATTGTCTGAAATGTATCAGTTTGTGAGATCCACAGGCAAGTGACTTGGGTAAATGTGAGGGCAGGAGGTGGTGGAAGTGATGATGGTGGTGGTGGTGGTGGTGGTGGTGGTGCTGGAGGATAAAATGTATATACAACTAGTTGATGGTAAATTTTTCCTTTTGGGATGAAAGGCTGTTTGGTTGTCAATCATTTTTCCTTTAGTGGGCCTCCTGTCTTGAATAGACATTAAAAGAAAAGTAATGTCAGTGTGAAAACAGGGCTTCTTGGTTTTTTTTTTTTTGTGTGTGTGTGTGTGTGTATGTGTGTTTGGTTCAAATGGTCAGGGTTGCTGGAAGCCAGCAGCCATGGAAGGAAAGAAGCTATATGTTTTCTAAGACTTTTAATGTATTAATGGCAGAAGTTCAAAGTGTTTCTCCAGATGCAGCTGCCTTTTCTTTTTAAAAATTACTTGATTATTTTTTTCCCAAATCACTGAACAGCTGTTCACCTAAACTGACCAAGATCTGCGGGGCATTCAGACAGGTACACAGGTCTTTCATTCTCACCACTTTTGATAGAATATTCATCATTTCCCCCCTTTCTCCTAATACAGCATACTAGTAGTACTTAACACTAAACTAGAAAACAGAAAACAAAACCCAGCAAAACAAAACCCTGAGATGAGTGGTGTTTAAAAAAAGAGAGGAAGTCCTTTAGATGTGGCTATTCGAAATGACTAATTTTGCATTCTGGTCTTTGCTTTTGTAAATGAAGTTTTTTTTTAATGCATATACACTGCAGTTTCCTTTAGTCAAATCCAAGTTGTGTGTGGGAGTGTGCGCGTGTGTGTGCGCGCGCGCGCGCGCACACACACACACACACACACACTTCCTTTTGAAAGGAGGGTTTGCTGATCTCTGAAAAGATGGTTTTCTTAAATTGTTGTGCTTGAAATCCTGGGCTCAAGCTGCTGGTGCAGTTGCTAAAGTAAGGTGATTATGGCGCCCACTTGTAATACTTGGGCAGATAAAACAGCTTAACTTTTCTCCCCTTTCTCTTCTGCTTGAGAATTGATCATCTGAAACTCAGCAGCAAACAGCTAGCCCATAACTATTTGCATTTCGTAGTCTCACAGCGGCATTCCTGCCTTAAGTATTCCGCTCCTAGTCTAGGCTGCTACAAGCCAAATAATTGTTCTCTTGAATGCATTCCTCCTCCGTGATCAATACACCTTTGAATGTTTTCATCTCAGCAGAAATCCTTCAAGTGGTTTTTTGGGCTCTGTTATGTGTAATTGTTTCTTTCACCACTGTACATATTGGTTGGAGCACAGATTAGCATTTTTCTCCACTCACAAAATATGGGATCGGTTTCAAGAAGTTTAAGATTTCACATACTTCATGCTAGAGAGGGAAACAGAATTCTAGTTGCTAGAAAGATCAAGCTTGCTGTTTGTTCCTTTGAAGTTAGCCATCTACCCACCTGGCTGAGAACTGCTGTATGGTGGCTTTTGGTGGTTTATTTCCAGTCCCTCCAAGCGAGAGCCACCCCATCAGCAGCTTCTAGTTGGACGACCTTTGTGTGTTCCAGGCAGTGTTTCTAAGTTGAGAATGCTTTCCTCTGAAGTTGGAATAGAAAGTGGTAAAAGCACCTTCGGTAAATCATGTTGTATTATTGCATGTTGTGTTTATATTTAGCAGGCTGCTTTCTCCTGACAGAAACCATTTGTGACAACGTGTCCGTTGGTTCTTTGGTGATTTGTGTCCCTGGTTTCTCTGCAGATGCTGTGTAGATGAAATAGTGAGGGTTCAATATCAGAATGCTAAATGTGTTAACGTCCCGACGTAAGCCTATGCTGCTTTCTTTTCTCCTCTCTGCTGGGACTGGTTAAGTTGGAGGCCTCCACGCTCCTATAATTTGATTCTGAGCTATAATCTTTTCCTTTCTATCTAGCTCCCATCCTGAATTCTCTCCTCCCAACAAACCCGGAGCTCTCCTAAACACGTCTCCATCTTCCCCTGGGGTTCCAGGCCTGAGGCTGCCTTTCTGGACTCATCTTTTGCCTTGTCACTGTCCCAGACCGCGGAACACAGACAGGACATTCTTCTCCAGCCTTCTTCCTGTCCTGGCTTTGAGTCTTCCAAATGGAAAATTCCAGCCCTATCAATTGGTGATGAACCCATTTCTTCTTGTTGAACCATGGTCTGATGGAATTACACGTAGCGATTGCTCAGAGTCCTACCACAGCAGCGTCAGCCTGAATCCTTGGAAAGTCCGAGCACCTCACAGTGTTTGCACCTCTAAAAGCAGAACTTCACTTCTTCCTTTGGTTTTGCCTGCAAGGTGTCCCTGGGGGAAAGACCTGATAGGCCTGCTCTGTGTTCAGCCCTGGTTCTAGCAGAGAGCCAGAGACAGAGAGACAGAGACAGAGAGAGAGAGACAGAGAGAGAGAGAGAGAGAGAGAGAGAGAGAGAGAGAGAGAGAAGAGAGACAGAGACAGAGAGAGACACAGAGACAGGAGAGACAGAGAGAGACAGACAGACAAAGAGGGGAGAGAGAGACAGAGACAGAGACACAGAAAGAGATAGAGAGACAGAGACACAGAGACAGACACAGAGACAGGAGAGACAGAGACACATAGAGACAGACAAAGAGGAGAGACAGACAGGAGAGACAGAGACACACACAGACAGACAAAGAGGAGAGACAGAGACAGAGACAGAGACACAGAGAGAGAGAGACAGACAGACAGAGACAGAGTGCTCTGGCATACAGACCTTCCCGGCTAAGGGGGCCAGCCTTTCTCCCTTTGTTCCCTGACCCTCCACTCTTAGCCTGTCTCTTAAAGCAGTGCTTCCTCATTCCACTTTTGTGATGGGGGATAATTAGTGGAAGTTCAAAAGGCAGCCAGGCCTGTGTACAAGGAGGAGGCCCCAGTGGGTGGGAGCGCAGAGACCCCGTTCTAATTCCTGGGATGCATGCTGGTTGTTCTCATTGTTTTAAGACCAGCACTTTGGTTTCTAGTCTGGCCATATTTTTCTACAGTACTTTGTAATTTAACCTATATCTTTATTTTTCACACTCGTGTCTCATCTGGGAATTGGAAAATTTGGTGGGGGGCTGGGGATAGGTAGTCCCTACCTTGCGGAATTTAGAGATCAGAACTCTGGGTACCCTGGGAAACACCCCCAGCCCAACTTGTCTGCTTTTTTGAACCTGATATTCATCGGGAGAAACTTGTGTATTTTGAAGGTTGACACCCCTGGGCCCGGGGGGGGGGGCAGATTGTAATTGTATAGAGAAGGACAGGCTACTTGGCATCCCCCCTATGTGGCAAGTAGTTTGACTTATACAATATTATCAATGAAGCACCTCATGTTTTCAAGAGGTGGTGTGGGAATCGTAGCCCAGTTGAAATCCGGTGTGTACCTTTCCCCACCCCTGGATGAGGCTGGGGCATCTGGAAGGTGGGTTGCGGCATCTCAGCAGCTGCTTCACGGGGCGGGTTCTTAGCCTACCTAAACATGAACGTAATTTGCTCTGTTTCAGCTTGGCTGAAGAGGAAATAAAAACAGAACAAGAGGTGGTAGAGGGCATGGATATCTCTACTCGCTCCAAAGGTGAGTAAAAATCTTGCATTCTCTGTTCCTGAGGGCTGGGGAAGAAAGGGGGATTTCTTTTTGTGGTTGGAGGGCCCTGAAGTGTGGTGGTCTGTGTTTGCCTCTCAGTGCCCCTTGGCTTTCCACATGCAGACCCTTGATGGATGGGCCTAATTTCCAGAGAAGTCTGCTGGCTTTGCCTTCCCTGGTGTGGCTGTGTAGGAATTGTCCCCACAGTGAATTCTAGGCGTGGGTCGTGATGGAGGATGCCTAGCTACCTCTCCCCGGGGTGACTCAAGAGTCAGAATTGAAAGCCTGTTCGGGAAGCCACTGGAGTTTGCAGCTGCTGTGGGCTTCCCAATCTCAGCAGCAGGCCCCTGTGGAATCTCAGAAGTGGGCTGAGGCCGGCCCAATTCACTGCAAAGCGGTGGTCTTGGTCAGAGCTAAAAGGAAGCTGGGGCTTTCTGGAATGCTGGGGCATGTTTGTATTTAGGGCAGAATACAGCGAATCAGAGCAAGCACAGACTGTGTTGTGCTGCAGGAGCTGCTCCAGGGTCCTCGCTGAGGGAGGGGTGCTCTTCCTTTGCTCCGTGAGAGATTACCGAGGCTCCCCAACCGGAAGCTGTGAATCACTTTTGCCTTCAGGGTGCTTTTATTTTACTTGTTTATTTCTAAAAGTCAGGTTTATTATTTTTTATTTCTATGTATTTTTATTTTTTGGTACTGGGAGTTGAGCTCAGGACTTTGCACTGTGCCGCTGAGCTCTACCCTTGGCCCCAGGGTGCTGTTAGCAGTTAGCTGGTGGAGCAGTTTTTGTGTCCTTGCATGTTGGTGACAGTGTTCATGTCCAGTCTGCATGGCTGTACCAGGGGTTGGATTCCCTGGCCACACTGCTGAGGACCCTCTGCTCGCAGCCCGCGCCCAGGGGCCTGGAGTGCTGGGGCTGCGGCTCAAGGAGACTCATCTGGCCAGAATGTCACGAGGAGAGGCTCCCTAAGGCTTCTGAGATAGAAAACCTTCTCAAGGGTTTTTATTTATTTTTATTTTTATTTTCTTTCTTTCTTTTTTTTTTTTTTGCGCGGAACCGGGGATTGAACTGAGGCCCTTGTGCTTGCCAGGGAAGCGCATATTCCATTGAGCCATCTCCCCGGCCCTCTCAAAGGTCATTTGGGGCCAAGCTGAGGGGCAGGGTGGGTGGGGCAGGGAGCCGCTGGAGCCCCATCACGGTCCCACGAGGGAGCCAGAAGGAAGGGGCTCAAAGGGTGTGGAGTTAGCAGGTTAGCAGCTTCTGGGAGCCAGCACCACTCGGCCACCGTAGCCCTTGTGGCCCCAATGCAGTGTGCGCTGGGGAGATGTGGTGGCTGCAGGGGCGTGGTCTTTTCTTCCAGTCCCCTCCCTTTTTGTCTGTGCAGTGGGTTCTTGGGGATGATTCCCAGGCTCCTTCCACCCTGGGCTTTCTTATAATAACGATATGGGCGCTTGTGAGGGCTGGCACTCACACCGGGGCTTTCTCTAGTTGAGCTCCTCTTCTCCTGAGGTAGGAGGTGTCCTTCCCACTTTACAGATGGGGAAACTGAGGCTCTAGATGGTAACACCACAGCGGGTGGTAAGTGGCAGAGCAGGACCAAAGTGAGCCTGCCCCCAGGGAGGCGGATGTGGCCCTGAGTGGAGATGTTTCCAGAAAACTGTCAGTCAATTTTCAGAAAACTGTCAGATGTTTTCAGAAAACTGTCACTCTTTCCTCCTCACCCGGTGGATGCTCCCCCTGCTGCCTGAGCTGTGACAGATATGAGTGACCATTCTCTCTTTTTGTCATGTGCTCTATTCCCCACCTTGCACTTTAGCAACCAGAATGTTCTTGATTTTCTTTTTTTTTTTTTATTTTAGGGAAGGGTCTACAGTGTGTTCAGGGTCTCACTACTAACTCAGACTTGTAGTGATCTGCCTGTTTACAACCTCCCAAGAGCTGGGATTACATGTTGGGTCAGGGATCGAATGTTCTTGCATTTTCTTTTGCTGATTCCCACCTCTGACCTTTTGGCACCTTTAAGCTCGTGTCTGAAGGCTGGGTGACCCCGTGCCCCCTTCTCTCCTCGGGGCCAGTATGCCCTTTGCCCAGAACTGCTGTCTTGGGTCCTGCTGATGTTTCTTTTTTCTTTCTTTCTTTTTTTTTTTCTTTTTTGCGGAACCGGGGATTGAACTCAGGCCCTTGCACTTGCCAGGGAAGCCTATATTCCACTGAGCCATCTCCCCGGCCCTTTGCTGATGTTTCTTGTGACTCAGGCTCATTACAGATGTTGTGCAGTCTTTCGACGGCCACCTAGGCTTGAAGGAGTTTATGTATTTTTAAAATGAACCCGTGAGTTTTACAGTATTAGATTTCCAGAAAAATTGCACGCGTCACACATGGGGAAGACATAGTTATCATAATTACTGAATCAGTATTTTTTTTTTTTTTTGTGGAACCGGGGATTGAACTCAGGTCCTTGTGCTTGCCAGGGAAGCGCTTATTCCACTGAGCCCTCTCCCCGGCCCTTGAATCAGTATTGATGTTACTGCATAATGAAATCCCTTCCTTTATGCAGATTTCCTGGTAGGTGTGGTAGTGTGGGCCTATAATCCTAGTATTCAGGAGACTGAGGGGAAGAAATAGGGCAAATTCTAGCATATATAGTGAGATACTGTCTTAAAAACAAAAACTCACTAAACAGATTGCCTGAGGGTTTTTTTTTTTTTTTTTT